ACCCATACAGTGTATTGTTGGCTATTGCTACAAATATACCCCAGCGACTTAACACTGCTTTTGAAGACAAGTACTCAATACGAGGCAGTAGTTTTGATTGAGCTTGAACTATTATTATTCAGGGCAGAGAGCAGTAACTGATGCAATGAGAAAAATCTATTGGAGACCCTGATGAAAACAAGAGGAACCATCATAGAATTTGTCATTTTTGAATGGTTATATTGGGAATTGTATTGGTTTTAATGGAAACTGTACTGGTCCGTGGTAATTTGTTGCCTATATTGGTGGCTTGTTAAAACTACTAAATCCTAATGGAATATGGCCCAAAACACACTACAGGTAATGGCTTTATTTAGGGATGTCCCGATTTTTTGTTCCCCTATCCGATCCAAGTCATTGAATATCGAGTGTCTGCCGATACCGAGTCCCGATCCGATACTTGTATATCCCTAGTGTTTGGTGTACAATTCAAATACATTAAAGTTATCAAAATCAATCCAATATATACAGAGTTGTGCAGAGAGTAAAAGTAATATATGTATATATAAACTCTCTATGCACACACTATATAAGACTTTTTGAGCGTCTTCTATTCCTTTTAATGGTGGCGGTTGCCAAACCCACTTAAGGCACACACTGCCCCCTACTGCACGACACCGGCGTGACAGCTGACGTAAAATAAGGATCGGGCTGAAGAGAGCCGATACCGATCAGTAAAAGAAAAACACTTGATCGGCCCCCAATCCTTGAGATCAGCTCGGGATGTCCCTAGTTAACAGCTGGCGGTTTGTTTTGTTTTTAATGGTATTTATAGTGGAAACCATCAGAAATTCTGTGATGGCTAAATAATAGTAATTATATCAAAAATATTATGGTACCCTTAAAGACCCCAAGGATGCAAAACGTAAAACAGAAATGAGGTACATAACAGAGTGCAAATATGCGTGTTAACAATCTGGAGCTAATGAATGGATGTTGAGGAGGCTGAAGGATCCTCCACCCACGGGTGATGGTCTAAACTTGGGTTCGGTTAGGCTGTACCGTGCACATTGAATACAAATTAATTAATTCTGTTAAAAATGAAGTGCATTCTCAGAAAAAAAGGTACAAAGCTGTCACTGCGGCAGATAAAGTTACAAGTATGCACCATTTAGGTACTAATGTGTATCTTTAAGGTATTTATATGCAACATTTAGGGGTGAATAAGGTAGAATACGGTGGGTACCGTCCCGGTGACAGACTTTGTGCCTTTTTCTAAGAGTGTGAAATGCCGTGCCAAGCTTGGAAAATGGTTCCTGGGACTTTAGATTGTTTGCTGTAGGCGACTGTGAGACTGGAGCTGATGGAGTAGCTGAGTGCAGATATTGAGTTCTGGAGTATTTTCATTGCAAGAGCAGTCAAAGGGCGTCACAATGCTCTTTTTACTCTACTGACTTCCAATCAAATGCATGCTAATGCAGGAGACAAGAAACAAGTTCATGTGAATTTTGCTGCTTCCCTAAGTTTGGTAAACTCTTGACCTGCAAATTCGCATCATATGAAGACAGGATTGCAGTAGATTGTATATTTGTACGTTTTGACTGTATTATTGAACTGTGTTTTTATAAATATAAAATAAAGTGGGAGGTTATGAATGCATGGATAGTTGTTTTGGCATCTGCAAAGTTATGGGAGGAATGAACACGAAGAGTTGAAAGAAAGAGAATGTTACATGGTGGTTTATTTGGTGAATAAAGATTGAGGAGCCAAATATAACGCCTAACCAAAATACTGTCAACATCACAGCAGAGATCTGAGTGAGAAGATATTAGAGATTTGGGCTGAACTAGCATGATTTCAAAGTTTAATTTTAGAAAATCAGAAGGATTTTTAAAATTAGGAATAGAAGCGGTCCGAGAAATGAACCCTGAGGTACACCTGTGGAAACTAAGGCAGCGTGTGATTGTGTTTGTTAATACAGACAAACTAATGCAGTCACTGATATCGGATGTCAGACTGTAGTCGATAGAGAAGTGAGGGTTAGGGTTAGGTTAGGTTAGGTTATATACAGTATAGTTATATAGCATTTTTCACAATGCATATTGTCTGAGAGCAACTTAAGAGAAGATATTCCTTCATGCCTCCAGTGAGCGACACCATGATGACAGTGACAAGGAAAAAAACGCCATGAGATATTTAGGTTCAGATGGAGAAACACCTTGAGATTTAGCTGGAAAGTCAAACGTTCATGCAGGATGTAGTAATGTATTGCTAATAACTATTATGTGTTTATTGAATAAATTAAATGATGTAATATGTAAGACAGTGTTTACATCGTAAGAGTGTGATGGTGAAGATTAATTGAGATTGAAGTCCTTCCTAGATCCCACTAGTGCGAGTGGTTTGTATTTTTGTATCTTAAATATAATCGTGAGTACCTGTGATGCTGTTTGTACCAGACCGGACTAATTGAGATGCACAGTCAAACCAAAAATTATTTCAGACTCCAGATATAATTTTTTATATTTTTTTACTAGTGGGTGCAGGACACTATAGTTCATTTATGTAAGTGAGGATAGCAAAATAAAGTAAACTGTGACATATTATACCCAAAAAATCTTCATACAGTGGACTACCAGTAAAATTTATACAGATTTGGGACCAAAAATTATCCAGACACTTTGACCTGACCATGTTTTGCTTAAGAGTTTTTTCTTTAATTGCTAATGCGACCTTTTTACTCCACAGACTGAACAAAATTAAGAATTGCTTGGTAATTAGTTGAGCTAAATTGCTATTATCTAATTGTGTACTTAAATTTAACAGCTGACAGATATTCAACAGAATTCATTACATACCTTTCTATCAAAGTTATCTGACATTATCAAGATGAATTTGTTCTGACACAGTTTAACTCTGAGTTCTTGTCATATTTTATTACAATTTTCTAAACTATTGCGAATAAACTGTGATAATGTGAGAAACGTTGAAGGTGTCTGAATACATTTTGGTTTGACTGTATGTCTGGTGAACAGATCTTTAGTCTCGACTCAAACTGCTGGAGACTCTTGAACATTTCCAGGAAGGCTGTTCCAAAGCTTCCCAATACAATTGGCGTTTCCATCCAGTGTTTTTTTTAATGTGATGCTTCAAAATGTGCATAACAATATGTGGATGGAAACATAGCTAGTAAATGTTCATGATGCTTGGAAAGCAGCAGCAGTAGATTTAGACACGGTTTTGTTAATCAGGCGAGCGGGAACAGCTGTGATGTGGTCTGATTGACTGGCGTTTCACTGTAAAGACATGGAAGCACATGTATGCACTGCAGTGAGGAATGGTGTTTCTGTGCTGTGTTGTTGATTTGAGTGTGTTTTCTAGGGATTTTCTGCCCCGTGGATCCGGCATCGTCACTCGCAGACCCCTGGTTCTGCAGCTCATCAGTGCAAACGCAGGTGAATCTCAGATTGTACATTGAGTTAGCTTACCCAGTGCAATTAACATTCAAGAAAAATCAGTATCTGAAATTCTGCTAATTCAATCTTGGAGTTCCTTAACTCATTACTTCAAATGTTTTACATTTTGCTTATGATCAGTCAGTCTGTCTAACATTGAATCTGCAGAGTGGGCCGAGTTCCTGCACTGCAAAGGGAAGAAGTTCACTGATTTCGATGAGGTCCGTCAGGAGATTGAGGCTGAGACCGACCGCGTCACCGGGGCCAATAAGGGCATTTCCCCCATTCCCATCAACCTGCGGGTTTATTCCCCACACGGTACTGGAAAACACATCACATCACAAACCCTGCCATGTTTTAAACTAAATCTCACTGCTCATGGTGGGGCCTGTTAGACGGTTTCTTCAAAAGCCTTTTGGATGCAAGATCATGAATGTACATGTAGTCCTGGACCATGTTTGTGTAAAGCTCAACCCCCTGGCCATGGGTCTGAAATTAACATGGGCTTGCACAGTTAAACTAAATCTATTACGGCTATCGTGAAGAAAGAGAAAATGAAATGGAAAATGAGGATTGCGGCGTTAAATTTAGATCTGTTCATTCGGCATCATATTTCTTTTTACGCGTTTACAGCATTGCGCATTATAACCAATCACACACGAGCTGATGAATGCAATGGCCAATCAGAGGCGTTCAGATGAGTTTTGTTGATAGCGGGAATTCTGTCTTCATAAACAGCGGAGTGCAGATGTACAAACAGTGCAAGAGATTCGCTCATTATACAGCGTAGACAGCTTCTCTGATTATAACGGGAGTGTTTTTAGTGCTAAACTCATGCTAGAAATAATAATAAAAAATAATGATGTGATGTTCTTTGATAATGTAAATGTTCTTTGCTCTCTTTCTGTATATAATTGATTCACTGTTTGAATAACTAGAAATAAAAGCATTATAATTAGTAACCGAAAGAGTTTTTTTTTTTGCTGTGATCACGTCTAATACAAATTCAGTTGTATTAAAATTGTCATACCCATATCTGGTACATGTCTAAACAGACGGGTTTATGATGTGCGTGTAATTAATAGATTACCCAATCATTAGGCTGCTTTTAGCCTAACCCTGGAGTTGGTTCACTCTCTGCCTGTGATCTTTATTCTCTTTTCTGGCCTCTTGACTCTGTGCAGTGCTGAATCTGACCCTCATCGACCTGCCGGGCATTAAAAAAGTAATTAATTACTAGTTACTAATTACATCTTCAACAGTGTAATTAGATTACTGTACAAATCAGTCTCTTCAAAAAGTATTTAATTACTAACTACTTTCTAAATCCTATTATCAACCTCGACAAGTTAATGATGCAAGGATAGATTAATTACCCCATGAGGTTTTCGAGTTATTGTGTTCAAGCAGGCCTTGGTCGATGGATAGCTGCTGAGCATCTCTAGAGCCGTGCGGTTGAGCTTTAGCTCTGCAGGCCCAGTGAAGCACACCGGGTCACGGGAAAACCCCTTTCAGTGTCCGCAGTGAATGTTTGATCACTCAGGGTACATCGGTGTGGTGAACCGCAGTCAGAAAGACATCGATGGGAAGAAGGACATCAGAGCGGCTCTGGCCGCAGAGAGGAAGTTCTTTCTGTCTCATCCGGCCTACAGACACATAGCAGACAGCATGGGCACCCCACACCTGCAGAAGGTCCTCAATCAGGTACTGTGCCCAGTCAGATCCTCACTGGAGACGCTCCTGACCGCATGTGCATTTAACGGAGCGGCTGCGTCTGTGTTTCCACAGCAACTGACCAACCACATCCGGGACACGCTGCCTGCCTTCCGCAGTAAACTGCAGTCGCAGCTGCTGTCTCTGGACCGAGAGGCGGAGGAGTACCGGCAGTACCGGCCCGACGACCCGTCACGCAAGACCAAAGCCCTGCTGCAGTCAGTCCCGCTAGCACCAGAAGCCTTCAGTCACACAAACACAGCACTGTGTTCAGTCTGAGTCACGCTATACTCGCAGACCTAAACAAAGCTATTCACAGTCACTATCGATCAGAATGTGTTTAGGTTTATTCAGTGGTCTGAAAACATGTAATACATGTCGCAAATAACTGAATCAAAATACATATACATAATGACCAAGACGATTGACCGAGAGCAGAGCCGATGATAATCAGGTGTGTGATCGAATAACAGCATATTGGGCTTTAAATAATGGCACAGTTATCAGAAAACTGACAAGTGCAAACCGTAGAAAAACCAGCTTGATCATCTCCTCACATTAATGCTGTGTCTGAAAGAGAAGCTGAACTGAAGAAAGAGAAACAAAGGCATTTGCAATAAGATCAGCCACAAACTATAACTGTGTTCAGGTCTTTTCATCGCCGATGTCTCACTGTGTGAGGGTTTGCTGTTAGTGAATCTGTCTCATTCAGGATCAGATTGTGTGAAATCTCTGCATGTTCCAGATGCACACAGCATATAACACAGCGTCATCATCTCTGAACATCTGCAGCCTGATCGCCTTGTTTATTGTGATGTGAAGCTCAGAATAATGCTTTGGTTGAATTCAGCTCTCCTCAGTTAGCCAGCGTCTCTGTATTTATTATGTATACTGTATGTAAAGACACACACATACAGCAAATATTTTGAAAATACTTACGTGTATTTATACATATAAATTATATTTAATATATAAACGTAACATGTTTTTCTTAAATATATTATATACATAATAAATATACACAGTACACACACATACAGTATATTATATACACAAAAACTTTTATTTTGGATGTGATTAATCGTTTCACAGCACTCCATCAGGAGTCTCTTCAGACAGAGCAAACTCATCACACACATATCTACAGTATGTGTGAGAGATTATGATTACTTATGATTAGTTCAGTCTCACATTTGCTATTCAGATACACTGTCCAAATGTAGCGGACTAGATCAGGACTGGTTTATATCGTGTATGACTGGACTGAGAGTCTGTGCGTCTGCAGGATGGTGCAGCAGTTCTCGGTGGACTTCGAGAAGCGTATCGAAGGCTCTGGTGATCAGGTGGACACCGTGGAGCTGTCTGGAGGAGCCAAGATCAACCGCATCTTCCACGAGCGCTTCCCTTTCGAGCTGGTCAAGGCAAGTGAGCCGGACACTGAGACTGTGCTCTGTTCTCACGGCTCCGTCCTAACCGTCCTGTGTTTCTGACCCGTCTGTGTGACAGATGGAGTGTGACGAGAAGGAGATGCGGCGGGAAATCAGCTACGCTATCAAGAACATCCATGGCATCAGGTGAGGCGTGCTTCAGTGTCCTCGCGCTCGCTGCGGGATCAGATCTGTGGGTTTAGGGTCAGGTGTGTGTTTAAGTCAGCGCTGAAGATGACTGTGTTTCTGATGCAGGACGGGTCTGTTCACTCCAGACATGGCCTTCGAGGCGATCGTGAAGAAGCAGGTGGTGAAGATCAAGGAGCCGTGTATTAAGTGTATTGATCTGGTGGTTCAGGAGCTGATCAACACGGTGCGTCAGTGCTCTGATAAGGTGCGTCGCTCTCTGTTCAACACTAACACCACTGCAGTACTCAGAACTCAGCAGGAGTGGGCCATATGGCAAACATATCATATCACGGTTTTATCACGATTCTTTGTCATGCTGGTTTTATTATTTAACAAGTAGTCTGAGAATACAGCCAAACTAATTTCCCTTTTTTAAAAACAAAGCAAAGGTAACAAAATATATAATAAAATATAAAATAATGGCAGACATTTAGGCCAAAGTCGACGAGGATAAAAACCTTTGTCACCGTTTTATCTTTGTTATTAAAAAATAAGAACAAAGATACATGTTACAAATACACAAATGAAACAAACAGTAGGCTACAGTAGATGTATTTAGCAGTAGCATTTAAGAAATTAACGAATTAACAAATATAAAAGTAAAACACTATACACATAAATTATACATTGATTCTTATTAAAGCACCAGTATTACAGTTCTTCAGTCAAGAGCAGCGAGTGGTTTTTCAGTTTGACAGCAAAACAAATACAGAAACCAGCAAATACAGAGCCAACTACAGACCACAACTAAATGAAAATTATCCCTATGGTTAGTGTAGTAAATCCATGGTTAATTTGTGCATGGTTATGGTTTAATTATGGTAACCATTTTTTGTTTTTATTTATTTATTATATAATAAATGTATTAATTCATTTTAATACCATAGGCTATGGTTGATATTTGTAAGAGAAGTTGTAAAAGCAAGTTAGCCAGCTTACATAACCTATCACAGTTACAGTAACAGATTATTATAGCCAAAAAAAAAAAAAGAGAGAGAGAATCTCACCTTTCAGAGCCAACATTGATAAATATGGCATCCTAATTATCATAAAAATAACATTGCAAAAATCTAGAAATGTTCAAGTCCACAAAATCAGTAATTTTGATCACAAAAAAAAAATCACAAGAAAATCATGAAATCTTGGTTGGACTGATAAATGCCATTCATTAGCTCTCTGTGTGTCTCAAATGCTGCAGGCCTCACATTTATTCATCTTTCTTCATTATTGCTCAGCAGTGTTTAGCTGATTTTCACACAGATGTTCCAGCAGAGGAAGCACGTGTGTACTTCATCACTTTAGGAAAACACTGTCATTACTAGTACCTTTATTTTCAGCGGTGTGTCTCTGTGAGTTTAGGAGGTGGACTCTCAGACCCAAATCCATCAGATGGCCTGCTCTGAGTGGAGCGGCTCAGTTTGAAAGCACTGCATCATATCAGCAGTCCATAGTATTAGCATAGCATGCACTAGTCATATTCTCTTCTGAGTAATGATTTTCTGGAGCAGTGTTTTTAAAGCCAGCCACCGCACTAGTTCAGTAAGGCCACTGCAGTGTAGTTTATTAGGGTTTAATGCAGCCGCTGAACTAAAGCTATGGGTCAGGCTTCTGATCTTGTGTTTTCTACATGCTCAGCTGGATTCGTTCCCTTGTCTGCGGGAGGAGACGGAGCGGATCGTCACGTCTCATATCCGTGACAGAGAGAGCAAAGCCAAAGAGCAGGTCCGACACACCTGGATATATGTGTGTGTGTGTGTGTGTGTGTGCGTGTGTGTGGTGTGTGTGTGTGTGTGTGTGTGTGTGTGTGTGTGTGCAGGTGGATAACGAGATTACGGCTCTGTAACGAGATTACGGCTCTGCAGCGTCTGTGTCTGTGTCTCTGCAGGTGCTGCTGCTCATCGACGTTCAGCTCGCGTACATCAACACCAACCACGAGGATTTCATCGGCTTCGCCAAGTATGTGCAGATCTTTTCCTGAGCACGAGGCTGTGACACGGTTAACATTGTTAATCTAATTAATTACACGATGTTCCGATTAATTAATCAAATTAATAATAGCACATCTATTTGGCTGAGAAATACCCCCAAAAGACACTACAAAGAATAGATTTAGAAAGAAATAGTTTGATTCAAGAATGCATAAATACTGATAATAAATGGTTATTAATATTTTTTGATTTAATATTGAAATATAATTTTTTTAATGAAATTATGCTCTAAATTTGAAACTAAAAGTGCTCAGTCAAATAATGATTGAGTCATTGAATCAATCACTCAACCAGTTGGTTCAGAGAGCTGATTCATTGAAAAATGAAGCAAGTGACTGTTTTTATGAATGATTAACTGAATCATTGACTCACTTGATTCATTCAGTGACGAATCACCGATGTGTGTTGATCAGAGATGCTCAACAGTTCTTCTGTTGGTTTGATTGGAACTATTTTCATTTGTGAAATTGAGCAAAAACACAATATTGTGTCTAAAATGTAACACAAATGTTTATTGAAATATTGTATAAAATCAGTATCATATTTTCAGTGGTGCAGATATTAAAGGGGTCATGAACTGCCTTTGTTTTTTATGTTGTACTGTTCTCTGAGGTCCACTTATAATGTTATCTAGATTTTTACATCAAAAGCATCATAATTTAGCAGTAATAGGCTATTTTCTGTCCTGTTTTGACCCCCTCATCAGAACGCTCTGTTTGAATAGACGTGGAGGCTTGTAGACTCGGACGTAAATGCCCACTGCTGTGATTGGCTAATAGTTGTGTATGATTGACAGCGTGCATTCCTCATAAATGGACGCTGCCGTGATTTAGGTTAAAAACACATAAATAACTCAATACATATGCATATCAAACAGTCTTACTCTCGGATCCAATATAGTTGGTACAGCATTGTTTTTTGGTTTCAGTCTTTCTAAAAATCCTGCGTCAAACTGTTTTGTTTCTAAACAAATCCACGGTAAAATGAATTGAACAAAGGACCGAGTTCTCACTGACGTGGTCTGGATCTTCAATAAAAATTCACTCTATCCTAAAGTTGGGATCAAAAGAAACGCAACGCAGACCTGGGTTTTCTCTTGTAAACAATACATGTGCGAATCGGTGGGCGGGGTTAAATAGACAGCGATGTAGAATCAGGGATCGGTGGGCGGGGCTAAACAGACAGCGATGTAGAATCAGGGATCGGTGGGCGGGGCTAAACAGACAGCGATGTAGAATCAGGGATCGGTGGGCGGGGCTAAACAGACAGCGATGTAGAATCAGGGATCGGTGGGCGGGGCTAAACAGACAGCGATGTAGAATCAGGGATCGGTGGGCGGGGCTAAACAGACAGCGATGTAGAATCAGGGATCGGTGGGCGGGGCTAAACAGACAGCGATGTAGAATCAGGGATCGGTGGGCGGGGCTAAACAGACAGCGATGTAGAATCAGGGATCGGTGGGCGGGGCTAAACAGACAGCGATGTAGAATCAGGGATCGGTGGGCGGGGCTAAACAGACAGCGATGTAGAATCAGGGATCGGTGGGCGGGGCTAAACAGACAGGTGGGCGGGGCTAAACAGGCAGTGCTGTAGAATAGGTGGGCGGGGCTAAACAGGCACTGATGTAGAATCGGTGGGCGGGGCTAAACAGGCAGTGATGTAGAATAGGTGGGCGGGGCTAAACAGACAGTGATGTAGAAGCAGGCGTTGATCTTTTTCTGCGGAGGCGGTGTTTATCCGCACTATGACATCATAGAGTAGAACATTCCAAAAGCTGTTGTTTTGGCAGACTGCTTTCAATATAAGCTGTTTTTAGACTAACGAGTTCTGAAACTTTATAGTACAATGACCTGTTTTATGTCAAAATATCAAGGGAATTTTGGTTTCTCAGTTCATAGCCCCTTTAAGGAAAAGCAGCACTCTTGCTGGTGTGATATTGCTATATAATATATCATATTATATAAATATAAGAGGGTGATTTTTTTTTTAATTCATATCTTGAATTTTAGACTCATATAACTGCATTCTAATAGACTCCATCACACAGTTAGTCATTCCTGTCTCACTGTCATCTCTCTCTCACACACACACACACTCACACACACTCTCTCTGTCTCTCTCGCTCTCTCACACACACACACACACACACCCTCTCTGTCTCTCAGTGCTCAGCAGCGCAGCAGTCAGGCGAATAAGAAGAGCTCTGCAGGGAATCAGGTCAGTGTGCTGGTGTTTGTGAAGGCCGTCTATGTTGATGGCACTCCAGACATCGATGCTCTTTATTGCTTTGTTGTCATTTTACATGGCTTTGACTTTTCTTCTGCTCTGCTTTTACTGCCCTCACTTTATTACTCAGTAGTTCTTGTGTTTGTCAGGATGTCCATGTGTTATGGACATGTTGAGTGTTTCTGTTCTCACACACGTGTGTCATGTTCTCTTCACTATCCTCCCGTGTGCGCGAGCGGCTCCTGCGTGATGTGCTGTTGTGTTTGGCTCAGGAGCTCCAGGTAAGAGCCTCTCATGTCCCCCGTGTCTCCATCACTCCTGTCTCATCAGAGCGAGATTGTCTCTGTCTCAGCACACACTGATGACAGATAGAAACTCCTCTGTTCATGCATCCAAACAGCAGAACGTGTCAAACATTACAGAACCTTTACTTCACTAAAAGCATTCATGTTTCCTTATTGCTTTATGTAACGTGATATGTTCCCTTTGCGTAATTTTTCTGATTTCCAAGGCTCTTTCTCTAGCAGAACAGTGTACAGGTCCTGTTTTTTACTGTGCACAAGCGTAGTTTGCATACATTGACGTCACAGCAGCTGTGAACCTCTTCATTCATTCAAATTATTCAGTGTTTTAGAGTTTTGTCACTCTTATTGGACTCATTCAGGAGGATGTCAGACACAAGTTTAATTTGTTATTATAAGCGTTGACTGTCAGAGATGAAATCCTGCAGCATGTAGGGATCAGTCTGGTTGTTTTATTGACTGCAGAAGCTAAAAAGTTAAAAACACATGAGTTACAAAAACAGTGGGTTATGTCTGTGAAGGTAAACAGCTGGGAAATAAATCGCATGTTTATTTTAGATCTGTGTGGCAGCAGCAATATACAGTATATAAATCAATAAATGCACTGCTCTGTTGTCTCGTCTGAGGCTGGGACTGTAAACAGTGTTCTGTGCTCGTCTGTGCAGCCAAACACAGAACAGTTAGCATGTTTTGCTCAAACATTCGTCATGGCGTTAGAGCTGCTACACCGTTCTCGCTTGTGAAAACGTTCTTTTTCACGTTTCCTGGGTTGGTAGATGCACCGGGGATCTGATTATAGCACTTATTAAACACAGAAAAATTACGCTATTACGCATGATACGCTACGTATCATGATATGCCATTAATTAACATTTTATCATTAGTATTTATAATATGCATTATACAGCAGTTAGTTTAGGTGTCGAGCTCGTCTAATAATGGTTTCACTGCACTCGTCTGTGTTTGTTCAGACAGACTGTGTGTTAGTATAGGTGTTTACACTGACTGCAGTTACTCAGGTACACCTGTAGCCTCTCCCCTTCACTGCTGCATGAAGTGTCCAACAAAGCCACTAGAAGCCACCGTTACGCAGCCAAAACAGCGTAACAGCTAATGCTAACGGAAAGGAGACCAGATGCCGTTTTTTTTAATGGATGTCAATGGAGGAGGGGCTTCACTTTGCTGAATAAACAGCTTTTTAGAGGAAACAGCTCATCGTTTAATCAATCGACAGCCTATCTGCTAATCTCCAACATGTTTTACAATAAACAATACTTTTGGATTGAACTATTTTTAGAGTTTACCACGAAAAAAAATTTGTTTTATAAGAGATGTCACTGACTTTCGCGACAGCTGGGATTCAGTTTACGGCACTCCTCATTCATTCCTATGGGATCCGTAAACGACGACTGAGTGTCGCACAACTCTGACTGAAATTCAGTGACGCAAGGCTGTGATTGGTTATTAAGTTAGCCGTTACGCTTTCTCCAATAGTAAGTAATACAGACCCTCTCATCTCTCTGGTGTTCAGTGTGAACACACTACTCACACTATTTATACTACAACACATCACGGAGTAGTGCATGAGTGCGTGATTTGGGACGCAGCCACTGTGTCACACTGTTGATTTCTCACGTCATTCGTCCGTGTGTCCTGCACTGTGTTTCTGATGGAAGTGTGTGTTTGTGATGTGACGCGTCTGGCTTTCTCCGTCAGGTGATCCGTAAGGGCTGGTTGACCATCAATAACATCAGCATCATGAAGGGAGGAGCAAAGGAGTACTGGTTCGTGCTGACCGCCGAGAGCCTGTCCTGGTTCAAAGATGACGAGGTGAGATGAATAACAGACAATGACTGGAGAGAGAAGAGAGTGTTCCTGTTCCTTTGTGTGCTGTTTTATCATACTATATTAGCTGCAGAAGTCAGTTATTCAGGCATAAACCAGAAAGTGTGTCTGAAATCAGTGATTCAATGGTTCAAAACAGATGATTCGGTGCTCAGATGTACAGATCTGTCTTTGTTTAGATTGGATTGACAAACTATTGCACGTTCTTTAAATGTCATGACAGATTTCTCTCAACCAATGCAAACCAGCTACACTCACTGCACAAACATATATCCACTTTTACTATTGTGACTCAAACACTAAAGCTTGTTGCATTTCTGAATTGTTTAAATGACACGCTCATGTTTCGGAGCTGTTTCAGTCTTTGGTCAATGCAGAATGCAATCCATCGACGCGTCGTTTAATCATGACCAGATTGTGTGTGAGAAGACTGTGATGACATCTTGATGAACCTGTTGAGCTCATTCAGATCTAGTTCTGCTGCTGACCAGTGTCTCTATCTGGATCCCGCAGGAGAAAGAGAAGAAGTACATGCTGCCCCTGGACAATCTGAAGGTCAGAGATGTGGAGAAAAGCTTCATGTCCAGCAAGCACATGTTTGCCATCTTCAACACGGAGCAGCGGTAAATAACAGATCTCTCTCTGCTGGTTTACATGCAGTCATTTCTATGAGGATAGCACAGCTGTAACAGCACAGAGGAGTCAGGGCTAGTCTTAGTTTTCACTCGTGGAGTTTTCAGAGATCCTGCGATGCTCTGCTGTCTGTGATGTTTCTGACGGAGGAGTGACGCTGGTTTTCTCTCAGGAACGTGTTCAAGGACAACCGTTTCTTGGAGCTGGCGTGTGACACTCTGGAGGAGGTGGAGAGCTGGAGAGCGTCGCTGCTGCGCGCCGGCGTTTATCCCGAGAGGGCCGTGGTCAGTGATCAATACCTCACGTCTTTATCAATCACCAGAAGCCTCATGTCAAGCTTAAACTGCTTTTTAAGGTTTTTTAAAAGTTTTTTAATTTCAGGGTTCGTACAAGGTGCTTAAATTGCTTGAATTTGACTTTTTGAAATGTAAGTCCTTGAAAACAGCCATATTTATGAAAAGGTACTTGAAAAGTACTTGGATGTTTAAAAGGCAGTATATATGAAATTGGTGTTAATTTTTGTTTTCGATACAAACAATCTGTTCTCGCTAAATTAACGATGCAGCTCGTCTGATGTAAATACAGAGCCGTTTCGCCTGGCTCTAGCAGCGCACGAGATCTCGCGATATCTGGATAAAGTTGATTTTGGGGTAAAATCTTTGATAGTGCTTGCATTATATTGTTCGGTCTTTTATTGCATGTGCTGTTTATATGCGATTTGTTGTACATCGCAATTTCGAAATAAAAGTTCAAACCCTCCCTCTGAGTTTGCATGTGGCCAAATATTAAAATTAAATGGATTTAAACATTGAATCACGTTGTAAAGTGAAGCATCACCAGGCCGCTGGCGCCCTCTGCAGGTTTTTGTTATAATACATAATGTACTTGTTATGTTCATATTATGCATAGGCATATTACATTATGTATTTTTTTAACAGTGTTGTTCAATAAAACCATGTGATTACTTGGTTTTGATACTTTATTTGAGCCAATTATTATTGTCTCGTCGTTAGTGTAAGACAATGTTAGTCAAACTAAAGCCTGTTTTTCACTTAGGTCTATTTTTATTACTAAAAAATATCAGATTACTGAATTGTCAAAATAATCAGTTACTTGATTACCAAAATAATCGTTAGTTACGGCTGTAGATTAGTTAAATGTTTCAAAATACAACTACATTGTTTTGCTTTTTGTGATTAAAAGACAAATATTTTGTCATTGAACATTTCTTAAAAATAGTATTAAGATATTGTCTCATTCTAGTGAACCAAGTATTGTCACACCCCTGGCGTCTCCGAGCGTGATATAGCTCATAACTTTCCAAGTGTATGATGAAGCTTTTACTCTTCAGGTCAATCATATATTCATAAAAAATAAAAAATCACTTTGAATAAGGAGAGCGATAACTTTGCCATAGTATCCTTTCAGGTTGCCACAGCCATTGCATGCTGTTTTATGACAATTTTATTAGTTTATTTATTAGAATTTGAAAGATTATAACAATATTGTGATCTCTGATTTTAGTCCTTGAAAGTCCTGGAATTTCATTTTGCAATTTCTGTACGAACCCCGTAATTTTTTGTATTTAAAAATTGAATTAATTAAGGTAGGATTTTACACTGTTTACACTATTTGTTCTGTATATATTGTTTGATGAAAAATAAAAGCAAAAGTTTTTTTTGTGTACCATCATCAGTCTTCACAAATATTCACGATCACCGCTCTAAACTGACGGTGATTAACCTCATTATTCCGTCTCTGTACGTAGATACATTTGCATAGATGGACGAACATAATCACCTGATTTTGTAAATGTGACCAATTACATTTGCATTAAGTTTGTGCTGGTCTATAAATTACATTTACAAAGCAAGCCCACAATAGTGGAAATCAGCTGTTTTTAGTGAAAGTAGGTCCCTGATTAATGAAATGATTGAGAAAACATATTTGATTGTTGTTCAGTTTAGTTTGATTAGTTTCATACATATTATTTCTATATACAGTATTTTGTACGAGTCATCTCAAGCTTTACGGGGTTTTACATGATTCTTTGATTGCAGTGTGGGTATGGTGAAGTGTACTCAAAACAGACATTTAAATGAACCCACAACCTAATAAGTTTATGGAGAAAGAAATGAATTTATTCATCAACTCTAAGCGAGACACAACGTTCTTCTAACCATAATTTCTACCGAGGAGGACAAACCCAAGCAACCCCTCCGTATCAGTTACACGAGATTAACACTGAAGCATGAGCCCTGTTCCTCGCGGCTGAGCTTTCTCTTTCTCTCAGGTGGAGAGTGAGAGTTCTGGCCCGTCGGAGAACTTCTCCATGGATCCTCAGCTGGAGAGGAAGGTGGAGACCATCAGGAACCTGGTGGACTCCTACATGGCCATCGTCAACAAATGCATCCGCGACCTCATGCCCAAGAGCATCATGCATCTGATGATCAATAACGTAAGGATGCTGTGTGACCGCTTGACCTTTGACATCAGATAGGAACTATGGAAAGCTTATTTATTCAGCTCAAACACGTTGAGCCTTATGAGTGGTTTTGTGGTCCAGGGTCACGTATGAGCTAATTATCATCACGCTGCTGCTCCGCAGGTGAAGGAGTTCATTAACGCGGAGCTCCTGGCGCAGCTGTACTCGGCTGGAGATCAGAACGCTCTGATGGACGAGTCTCAGGAGCAGGTGCAGCGGCGCGAGGAGGTTCTGCGCACACACCACGCTCTGAAAGAAGCTCTGGCCATCATCGGAGACATCTCCACCACCACCATCTCCACACCACTGCCTCCGCCGGTGGATAACTCCTGGCTGAGCGCCGGCGCCGGCTCCCGCAGGTAACAGACAGAGCTCTGATCTGTGTAGAGCTCCATTAGCTCTGTGTGTGGAGGGCTGTAGCTCTCGTCCACTGCTGCACGCTCAGCCACAGCACACTAGAAACGGTCCAGGCTGCTTATGAATCGCTCCGTCCATTCAGTCATCTGATTGCCTCATCCTTCAAAGCCTTGATTTGTGTATGGGAGAAGAGAGGACCTTGTGGTGCACATTCTTAATTAACTGTGTTGGGGGTAACGCTTAGAGATGGTAGAAAAAAAAACCTTTTTTAAAAACAAAAATAAATAACAAATTTTGTAATCATTATGTAAAATTAGCTACAGGACCCAGAAACCCCACCCCCGAAAAAGAAGTTGACCACACCATCCCCTCTGAATTTTTTTTTACAATTCGACCGCTGCCCATAGGTATTCTATTCATTATAAACAATATAACAAGAAAAAGACCCGAGGTATGTAAATGTGTAAGTATATTTTTCCTGCGCAACTATATTTACATATCTGACTCAATAAGTGCAGTGTATCTTTATTCCTCGAGGTGGCACTGTTTGATGCACAATGACGATGTGATGTTTCACTAATAATTACCGCAGGCATAAAACAAACGAATATCATCAGCAGAAATTGAACTGGTTTGAGCGGCTTTACTGCAGAGCAATTACTGTACGCAGTGAAATATAAATGTCACTGTCATTTGATGCTGGATGTGGTGAATAAGCTGCCAGTGATCAACATATTGATTTTGAAGCCATTGAAAATTATAGTTTTGAGAATATGTTTGAGATCGTGAATAAGAGCCCTCTGTGCGCTGACGACAACAGCTCAAATCCAACCCTTCTAAGTTTCTTTATTATAAAATATGCTTTATTTTATTCTTCTGTAATTGTTCTGTAAGAGTTTTTTGCTATTGCAGCAGTTAGAGATCCACCTCGCTGAAGACTCATGATTGGCGAAACATTAGTGCGTTTAAGAGTTAATCGAGCAGCCCTAGCTGGAGCAGTCTGGTCTCTGGGATGATCCAGGTTGTTCTGTGAGGGAGTGCGTGTGGTTTTCCTGCAGATGTGAGAGTGTCTGTGGTCTGCAGGTCTCCTCCTCCGAGCCCCACGGCTCCGCGCCGGATGTCTGCGGGACAGAGACCTGCTGGGAGAGGTGCTCCTGCGCCTCCGTCTCGCCCCGGACCCTTGGGGCCCCTGAACATCAGCACTGACAGCCCACAGGTTCCCAGCCGGCCCAACCGAGCGCCTCCCAGCATTCCCAGGTGAGACCTGACCTGATCTCTGTTCTTACCATCTGCTTCTGATTGACCTATCGGTAAGCCCCGCCCCCTTAGTTACTGTTGCTCAGTGACAAACAAACAGAGCTGCTCACTGTCTTACAATGACGGCTGTCAGTGAAAACCTTCTTCCGAGGTGGTCTTCTTTCAAGTGGGACTTAAATATGCCATGGAGGGATATATAAAAGATATTAAGCTAAATATGTAAAAATACAGATCACAATGCAAACGGGAGAATTATGTTACGGTCGTCACGATCGCAATGACAACATCCCGGATCAACACCGTTCATATACCGCAGAGTAAGATTACATTTAACCAGATTAATATGGAGAGGCACTCTTATATAGACCTTGGTTTATGTGTTTTTGACTTTTGACAGTTCGCTATTTAGGTTTGTACGTTAGCATGGACTCACTAACTTTAACGCTAACGTTAGCTAGTTTTAGCCAGAGATACCTTGCTGAAGCACAAGATGACATTAACGTTCTGCTTGAGCAGATGAAAAGTGTAACTTAATGAGAGTATGACAACCAGAAAATGAACGTTTTCGTCTTCATTGTGATTGGGGTTGAATGCTTACGGACATTTTGCTCTGTTTTGGTTGGGTTTAGAAAATGGAATAAAATATATTCTATTGCCTATCCTCTCAGGATACCTGGAATCAGTGTTACAAGTACCCCAGGCACATCGTTTTTCCATTTTTGTTGCATAAACACCATTAAACCGATGCGAGCTTCGGATCTTCCAATGTTTCTCTATGGCGCTGAAACCTACAGATGTCCGAGTTCAGCTCCCCGTGCAACTGATACTCGACTGCCATTGGCTCATCTGCGCTCGAGGGGAGGGGCTTACCGATTGCAGTACAGCATTCCCCTCTAGCACACAAACACACGCTTGAATGCTCAACCAACGCATTGCTAGGGTGCAGTACATTTACTGGATATAATCTCAGTCTCAGTTTGTTCTGTTTCTTCATGTCATTCCAGACAGACTGCATGATGATCAGATCTGATCTCAAACAAAAACCTCACTGCATTATTATAATTAATGGCTAAATGAATGTTTGGACATGTAAACTGATATTTCCTTCTGACACACTTGAAACCTACAGATGTCCGAGTTCAGCTCCCCGTGCAACTGATACTCGACTGCCATTGGCTCATCTGCGCTCGAGGGGAGGGGCTTACCGATTGCAGTACAGCATTCCCCTCTAGCACACAAACACACGCTTGAATGCTCAACCAACGCATTGCTAGGGTGCAGTACATTTACTGGATATAATCTCAGTCTCAGTTTGTTCTGTTTCTTCATGTCATTCCAGACAGACTGCATGATGATCAGATCTGATCTCAAACAAAAACCTCACTGCATTATTATAATTAATGGCTAAATGAATGTTTGGACATGTAAACTGATATTTCCTTCTGACACACTACAGCAAAAGATAGAAATAACTGACTTCAAACCATTTTTTAGCTGTGTTGTAATCATTTTGGCCAGCACTGTATATAAATTAACATGCAAATGCTGTCTGACTGTCTTCTAATACTAGACTGCTTACAGATACTAATTCTGTCTTTCTGTCTCTTACCCTGCCATCCATTGCCTTCCTCGACGCTTCTGCTGCCATGAACACTTTCTTCTTCTTCTTCTTCTAACACAGCCGGCGTCCTCCTCCTTCCCCGACGCGTCAGCTTCCCCCGTGAGCGGCGTCTGTCGTCTGCGTGTGCAGTGATCTGTGTGTGTGTGTGTGTGTGTGTGTGTGTGTGTGAGCGGTGCTTGTGTTGTCTGTCTGTGCCTCCAGTCTCCTCCATCTTCACACAACCCTCCTGAAGCGCTTCTAGCGATGCATGCTCGTTTACTTCAGCCTGTTGACCTGCGTGTTCACATACTTGTGTCATACTATACCATAGTGTATGAGCGGTATATATTAGTGCAAGTCTGGAAGTGTGTGTGTGTGTGTGTGGATAAATTAAAAGATAGAGGTGTAAAATAGTTTAAGGTTATGTGATATTTGTCTTTACATTTAAATTATTAATGTTTTTTATTTCGTAATGTTGTTTGTTATTGAAAAGGCTCAGAGGAGACCTTTATTTCTTACTTGTGAACACTGGTTTTGCCTGTTTTGTTGTTACTCGCAGCAAACACGGCATCTTTAGACGTCATTGTCTGCAAACACTTAAATGTGCACCAAAATATGAAATATATTCATCTTCTTGAATAGCGCCACCTGCTTGCCATACTAGTTGATGACAGTTAATCCAAAATGTTGAACCAAAGTCCCTGGAACTGCAGTATACAGCTGTTCTGCTGTGTAGAAACTCAACTCTATGTACTGTACATGTTTCAGATGAACACAACACCAGACAGTCATCCATTACTGTGAAATAAATCTAGCTGTAGTTTAGTGTCGTGTCTATCGCTCCGTTCGTCACATTAGTGATATTTAAGCATTGATGATGTTCATTTGCTATTGTACTCATGTTTAGTAACTCCAAGACACATAGCATTCTCCAAAAGGACTAAATAAGGAATTCAAGACACGTATGCAGGGATTCTTGGGAAACGCTGATGTGTTATTTTCACGTTCATTATTAAAAACATGAATATATGGATATATTATCTGCGGGTTTGTGAATCAGAGACTTTGTGCTTGTTCAAATGTGTCCTGCAGTATTTCAGTTACTAGTCTGGTGACATTGAAACTGGTTAAACTACCTGCTGTTTGCTCCCAGAAACACACGCTTCTGTTCATCAGACGGATGTTTGTGTTCTTTATGTTAGTCACTCAGACTAAGCTACGCACACATGAAGTATTTTAGACACTTGATGACACTAGCGTTTGTTTAAGAGCAGATCTGAGGCTCAGACAGCAGTTTGACATTATATAATACATATGTAATGCATTCATATGACGGCATTGAAAACGAATGCTGGAAAATGTGCTTTAGCTGTTTATTTGCTGTTCTCAGCAGACAGTTGCATAGTTTGAATAATAGTGGAGCAAACACCAGATTTGAGCATCTCACTCTTTCTGTGTTTCATTATGGCTTGATGTACTGTACCTCTGTATGTATGAAATAAAATCTAGTATTATAAAATCAAATGAGAATCTGCAGTGTCTAATTCCTGTTTGTTTCGTGTGGATGGTGATGTAAAGTTTCTCTCAAAAGCGCAGTTTTCTGTTTCAGGTTTTTCACAAAGAAGCTGTTCTGCTCGTTTCAGTCGCTCATAACACTTTGATTTGTGCGTGTGTGCGAAAGTGTGTGTGTGCGTGTGTGTGTGTGAGAGTGTGTGTGCGTGTGTGTGTGTGAGAGTGTGTGTGCGTGTGTGTGCGTACGTGTGTGTGTGTGTGTGTTCAGGGATTCTGCTCTGAAAGCAGTGTCACAGATGCGTGTGTACAGCTGCATGCAATGCTGCTGGAAACCTGCCAAGGACCTCCGTTCACAATCTGATTCCTTCTGAGGCCACTGTTTATTTAATGCTTTCCTCATCTGTGTCTGTCAGTGTCCGTGAGTCCAGAAGACCTGCTAAAGACCAAACAGGGAACAGGACCAACGCCTCCCGCATTCTGAGAGATCAGGTGATGTTTGCACACGTGACTCAGTGAACGACCTGCGAATTCATCTTAAAACTGATGAGAATTTATACCAGAATCAGCATAATGCCTTCTAGTGTACATTAGTAGCATGACCTCTGTGAAATGCTTGAGAATCCCGAGGGACAGTGAGTGTTGGTCTGATCTGAATCTGCAGGGCTCCAGCAGCTCCGCAGACAGCGACCCGTCTGTGCCCTGCAGAGAGCAGGAGATCCCCAGCTTCGAGGAGTGGACCAAGATCATGCTGAAGGTGGAGAACCAGAAGAGTGAGTCGTGTTGAGACCGGAGCTGCTCCTGCTCTCGCTGACAGTGTTTCTGTCCATCAGGTCAGATCACACACCTTTCTGACAGCCTTCACGCTGCGGGGAAGAAGCTTCAGCAGACCGTCACCAACTACGCCTCTGTGGAGTGTGGAGCCAAGATCCTGTCCTCCAACCCTGAGGCCAAGGTTCATCAGCATGTCTGATCCCGTCTGTGTTTGACACAGAGTTACTGTGAGACAGGCACTGAACTCCAGAGTAAACTACACATACTACTGTTTTTCATCAGCAGGATTTTGTCTAAATCAGGTTAATAAGAGAATCAATTAAGTGTAATGAATTTTTCTGTTTTTCCAGAGCACTTCTGCTATTCTGATGGAGAGCATGTACATGCTGAATCCCTGCAATAAGATCTGGCGGGCTGATTAGACTGTTTGTTTTAACGTCAGGCAAAACTATTCTGTGTGATAATTGTTGTGTGTTGCTGTGATTGATCTGAAGTCTTGCCGTTGTGTTTGCTGTGTGAAATCACTCAATAGCCTGTGTTTAGTACCTAGACAGACTTTCCAGACAGATAACAGCAGGATCTGTGTTATTCCTCATATGAGTGTTTGTGAAATGAAGAGCACTAGAGAGAGCCGTCAGCAGTGATGGAGAAGCTCTGTGGTCTTCACCGTCTCCTCATCGTGAGCTCTGTCAGCCCATTCATCTCAAGCAGCTGGACATCGCTAACTTTGAGATCTCCTCCTCAAACCCCAAAGTCTTCCTGGTGTCCATCAGTGACAGGTCAGCACTTATGGGCTCCATTACTGACTGCCTCTGCATTTGTGACTTCATATTTCATGTTTTGAATTCCATTACAAAATGTTATAATGCAGTTTTTGTACTTTATAATTTTTTTATATGCAGCACATCTGTTTGTGTATATGTGTGTGTTATAAAGCTTCATGGCTTGTTTATACTCTGATATCCAAACAAAAAGTGTGTGAAGCTCGGGACGTTTCATGCACGTGACGAGCGGGCGGTGCAGAGTTTTCCTCTGGATGAGCATCTGTTTGCCAAATACATCAAGGTGAGACTGAGTGAGATGATAGCATGTGACGATTGAGGCTAACACTGAAGCAGTGGTGTGTTCTGAACTGCTGCTCTTTTAAACACACGTGAATAAGTGTGGTGTTTGGCACTAGTATGATGGAGGAGTATGAGCTCAGATCCATCAGACAGAGCGCTGCAGGTTCAGGCCGAGCAGGACAGCGGTAACACTCACTGAATAAAGCGGCCCGAGTCTGCTGTCTGTTTGTGTCACAGATAGAACAGTGTCGTTTCTCTTTCTGAATGTTTAGATCAGCCTCCTGATTTTGTGCCAGTCGATGACAAATCCTCCAGAAACCTGATCAGATCTGCCAGAGGTACAGTTCGATGAGACTTAAAGGGTTAGTTCACCCAAAAATGAAGTCCATGTTTTACTCACCCTCGAGGCATTCTAGCTGTATATGACTTTCTTCTTTCAGACGAATCCAATCGGAGTTACATTAAAAATTATCCTTGCTCTTCTAAGCGTTAGAATGGGAGTAAATGGCTGTTATTTTTCAACAGTCCAAAAGAAGTCAAATAAAGTGCATTGCTTATCACATGAAGTGATAAGCAATTACTTTATCACATTACAAGTGATTGTATTTACAGATTATCAGCCATTTTGCTTAAAATCTTCATCAAATGTCTGTAATTACTATTTTTTCTTCAGATGGTCTGATGCTGCTACTCATTTGCCTCTGATGTTCTTGGCCCCTTAAAGGGACAGTTCACCCAAAAAATGAAAATGATGTGATTATTTACTAACCCTCAAGTTATTTCAAACCTGTATGAGTTTCTTTCTTCTGTTGAAAGTAGTATGAAAAAATACTGTGGAAGTCAGTTGGGACCAGAAACTGTTCAGTTATGAACATTCTTCAAAATATTTTATTTTGTGTTCAGCAGAAGAAAGAAACGCATGCAGGTTTTAAACAACTTGAGAATGAATATTTTTTATTTTTTGGTGAACTATCACTTTAATTGGTGCTTGCAGCTATATTTTAATTTGTACCTTTGTTCTGTTGTAGTTATTTGACCTATTGCTTATAATTAGTATAATTGGAGTCTTTTCTTATTTTATTAATGACTCTTCACTTGTCTTTAACAAGTTTTGAAACATTTCACATACATTATATTAGGTAGGACAGTATTATTTTTTTTCCTATGATATTGAAATTGGTGTAGAGAATTGTGAAATGTTAGAAATGTCTAAAATGTCATTTTTTAGCACAAATAACTATATTGTAATATACTGTATATTGTTATTGTGATGTGAGATTTTGATCATATCATCATCATACCTTTGTGATTGTGATTGATCTGGTTGTGCTTGTGTTTTATCGGTTCAGATACAGAAAGCAGGTGGAGGAGATGCAGAGAGCCTTTAACAAAACCATCATCAAGCTCCAGAACACCTCCAGAATGGCCGAGGAGCAGGTCAAAGACATCTTGAGTCTAAACTCATTCAGACCAAACCTGGACTGATGCGTTAGTTCAATCCAGGATCCTCCTGTTGGAGAATCTGTTTAGACATGATGACGTGAAGATCAGCATTGGTTTCTTCTGTTGTGTAGCTCGATTTAGTAAAAGGTAAATCAGTAAAAAAAATCTGAAAAAGTCATGAGAAGAAAAGAACAGCATCACAACCTCAACAGATACACACATGAGCACTCCTGATGTGTGTGTGTGTGTGTGTGTGTGCACAGCACAGCACACTGGACACTGTTGTCCTATTCTCTGTCTCAGTGTCATATCTGCCCATGTTTCTGTGTTTCTCTCAGCCGTGTGTATGTCTGTTTCAGGATCAGAGGCAGACGGACTGCATCCAGGCTCTGAGGCTCAGCTGGAGAACGTGACGCAGCTCGTCCTCAGTCTGTCTGTCAGCGTGAGTCGACTGCAGCGAGAGGTGATCAGCCTGTTCACCAGTTTATAATTATCAGTTTATAATGACAAAACACCACCATCAGATGAGCAGCAGCGCGCTGTCATCATTCATATTTCAACTAACTCAATTTCTGTAGTAAGTTTTTAAGCACAGGGATCCATCGATATCACAGACTGAAACAAAGCTCTTATTTTATTTACAAATTCCTTTTTTCTGATTACTGAAGTCTTTTATTAACGCAGTGTCACTGCACGGCCATTGGTTCGTGCAGTAAATAAAAAACTAACCAATGGCGAGGCAGCAGAGCTGCACGAGCCTATGGCCATGAAGCTGAAATGGGCGGGGTCATCTGGCTATATAAGCGGGCATTCTGGCTTAGGATCCTCAGGTTAATTTGACTGAAGCAACGACGCTGAGTCGTGCAGCTACATAGCACGGCTAGCAACGCAGTACGCGTTCCCGTATCTCAGGGAACCGAGGTTACGTTAGAAACCGAGTTTTCCCTATCGATACTTCACTTGCACTGCGTCGCTAGACGCGATGGGGAACCAGTACAATCACGCCGTGCTATGATAGAGGAACGACTAATACTGGAACTTGCCTTACACCATGTCCTAACTATACGCAACGTGTAAAGATTCCAGGGACAAGCAATTTGGGTGCCCACACCAGAGGCGACACGAAGAATCAATCAAATATCACAGCCAATCAGAAGCGTGTGTGGGCGGGCTCTCTCTGGAAACGCACTGCACTCGCAACGAAATGGATAAATTTATAATCTAATTCAAAAACATCAAACCTTTTTAAAGGGGTCATATGATGCGATTTCAATTGTTCCTTTCTCTTTGGAGTGTTACAAGCTCTTGGTGCATAAAGAAGATCTGTAAAGTTGCAAAGACTAAAGTCTCAAATCCAAAGAGATATTCTTTATAAAAGTTAAGAGTCAGTCACGCCTACCTAAAACGGCTCGTTCTAACACGCCCCCACATATCTACCTCAC